GCATGCTTGCGCGGTTGGCAATGGAGCTGTTGGAATTGATGCTGGGTTTTAACGCAGCAGTGTCAAATCTACGCCTTAGTTTTGCAGCTTCTTAGGCGGCCGTCCAATTTGCCTTTCCATCTTTGTTATTTACCCACCTGTAGAATTAAAAATTTTCTTATAAGTTGAATCAGTATTAAGCTTAGTACTATGGTTTGGATCATTTGACATTCTGATTTGGGAAAAAATGGCTCTCATTAATGAACCTAAACAAAAATCAGTAAGTCGTACCAAAAATAATATAATAGTTGGATTAATATTCAAATCTGCGGCTTCTCCAAATAATTCTTGACTTTTGGTGATTAATGGAAAAACATAAGGTAACATTTCAATAATTGCCATGAATAATATTTTCTTCAAGTAGAAGAAGGCCAATTTACTGTTGGTTAGTTCATAAATATTAAATAAATGACAGTACAACAACATGATTAATGAATTCATCTTGAATAAAACTCCAATTTTAAGGATTTTATTCGTATGATAATTGGAACTTTTCTCTTCTAGATTATAAGTATAATCACTCACTTTACCTAATAATTGAGAAACTCCTTTTTCTAAATGATTTAAATGACTGGTTAATTCCAGAATTTTCACTTTTTCTCCAATTTTATTACACAACACAACGATATCCCTAACAGGACCTCTAATCAAGGAAGAAATAAACGCAAATACCGAAAGTGAGGCTTTTTCAACATCTAAATCTCGAGAATTTGAATTTTCTTCTGTGAAAAATGGTCTTTTAGTATCATAGGAATCTGGCTTGATAAGTAATGGTGTGCCATATGTATGTGCTTGACTAAAATCTTGCATCAACTGATAGTACCATACTTTTCTGTATAAATTTTTTACCTTTTCATCGGTTCCATTGGGCAACTTATCCGGTTCTCTATTCAATCCTAAAATGTAGCACATTGCAACCAAATTCCCATGCTGAGTAAATGAATCCCCACCTTCCAATCCGTCACCTTCTTCTGGAGCATAAACTTTGTAGGAACGTAAATAAATACCCAATTGTAATAGTGGAAATTTGATTCTTCCAACTCTTTGTAAATGAATAAAACATGCTTGAGCAATTTCAATAACTTGAATATTAATAGCATTGAGAATTAAATATTTTCGTTCTTCTTCAGCGGGAGTAAGGTCTGTTTTGGTCAATATTTGTTCATTATAAAATCCTCGATTATGAAACAATGATAAATACAGCAATCGACATATAACAAATAAAATCCCCACATGGGCAATATCTACTCGATTTTCGATTTTAACTTCAGATGGTTTAACATCTTCATATGATTCCTTCCCGATTAATTTTTCCGTATGTTCTCTAAAAGTGTCTTCAATAACGTAAGGTATTATAGGATACAATAAACTAAAATATCTTTGTATCAATAACCAAATAACTTTCTTTGGAGGCATTGCATTTTGAATCTGTTCAATTAAACTTGATTCCCGGTCTTTGTTTCCTCCTAAAATACTTAAACCCATGGCAAAAGTAGTCATATTAGCTGGAGCAGTGGGTGTTTGTGAATTGACACTTCTGTTTAGTTTATCATCTTCGGACAATTCAATCTTTTCTTCAAATTTAGATTCTAAACTTCGATCCAAATGTAGCATAGATTTAACTTTTTCATCGTTGGGTAAAATTAGTTTCTTTAAAGGATCAAACGTAATTCCAGCATCTACTTTTTTCTTATCTTCTTTTTGGGCTTCGAATGATGAAAAACATCGCAATGTTCTACTTGCTGTTCCAGATCTGATTGAATATGTAGATGATAAAGGCGACATTGCACCTCGATTATACCTTCCAAAAACTTTAGGTATACTTGCATAAAAATCAACAAAATCATTTGGTGAGTTGTATGGATTGATACCAATTAGCAATTCATCACTTGAACTTAATCTTGATAAATGTAATGTAGAAGTCACTGTGGAATTTTTAATATCATAAATATACATATTATCAGATGCAACATTCTCCACAGGGATAAAACCTGGTCTTAATTCATCATGATTTGAGAATACAACATTTCTATAAGTATTAATGGACTTATTGTAAACAATGTCATCATTGTTGTCATAATCTGGTTCTGGTTGAACTGATGTTATTGAAGTTGGAGCAGGTGGTGGTGGTTGAGATGTTTGAGCCAGTTGATTTCCTGATGAATTAGATGGTAAATTCTCATAGTACTTAAGTTTTGCTTGCAACTCTTCCAATACTGATTTTTGAATTAATACACAAACATCATGTTTAGGTTCTACGGATGACGGTTTCTGGGGTTGCTTCGAAGCATGTGACGAATTTACTGAATTCTGAGACGATTGTAGATGAGGTGTTGATGATCTTGGAAAGTTTTGCTGTTGCTGTTGTTGGGAATGTTGATGATGGCTTTTGGAGATATTACGCCTACGTTTCTTTGGTTCAAATTTCCTTTCATCATAAATACATTCATCAGGCTTGGATTTATTACAGTTTGAACATGGTTTTCCTTTATCACATTTGATTTTCTTTCTTCGACAAGGTAAACAAACTAGTGTAAGTCTTTGTCTCTTTTTAACTGATTTTGAATTTGATGATGTAGATGTATCGGATGTAATTGTAGAATCATTAAAAGTTGTTTGTTCGTCATGAGGTGTTGAATGTTGCATAGAATGGTTTTCTTCTAACGTTTGATTATTCTGATGAGATTGTGGAATAATAGGTTCAAGAACAACCATATTTATATCTCATTGAACACAAAGAAAGGTTATAGGAATAATTAACTAGGTAAGTAAAAGGTAGGGTCAAGATAAAGTATAAACAGGTAGAAGCCTTAACCAAACAATAAGATTTACCTCACAAGAAAACAAAAATTAAATAAAAAAAAAAAAAAAAAAAGAATTGTTTCTGGTTTATTTTTTTTTTTTCCTTCTTCTTTTTGGAAATGGATGTCTTCACGGTATTAATCAATACGAACTCGATGATCCTCTGTTTTAGTCTTTTCGATGGTTATTTTGTGAATTAGAATGACAATTTTAAATGTTGTTCTTTTATTGAAAATGAAACTAAAAATGTTTAATTAAATTTTTCTTTTTTTGTTTTAAATTAAAATAACTAAATAATTGTGTCAAAGTACACGCACATGTCACCTTATCGGGTTTAAGGCGGAATTGATGTTTTTTGTGGTTTTTATTCTGACTCGTGCGTAGCTCCGTTAATAACAATGAAAGCGATAACAACGTTCACTTTAAAACCGTTTCTGTCTTTTTAAATCTATTCATAGTAGTACAAAAGATTATAAAACCTGATAACTATCATACATAATTGTCTGTGTCTGTGTCTGTATCTGTATCTGTTCCTGTGTCTATGTATGTAAATGTATATACATATATAAATTACGATGTACCCTATTTCTATCAACGCGTGTAAACTGATACACAATCTAGAATCAAAACACAATGTTTCAATTGTTTTCATTAATTAGTTCCATATGATATTCTTTCACTATTACTTGAATTCAATAAAGACTCCAGTTCAGTTTCACTTTGTGAATATTCACTTTCTGAATAATCATCATCTTTATCACCATTATACAAGAAAAATTGAACAAATATTGTGAAATCCAATCCCAAAGTACCCAAAGAACCAGCCAACCAAGAAGAATTAACCCATAAATAGTTCCAACTCATATCAATTGATAATATAGAAATAACATAGGTTAAATTACCTAAACATGCAAATAAGAAAAACATAAATGAAATCCCGTCACATGATTTTCTTTCATAATTTAAAACAATTTGAGGAATTCTTGATCCCAAATATAAAAATGCACACAACCATCCAAATACTTGAGCTAATGGATCAAATACTAAATCTTTTGGATGTTTGGCATGGTTTTTACCTGGGTGTTTTCCATTTTTATAGTCTTTTAAATAAGAAATATACCATCCAATAACTCCTGATGCAATAACTAAGAAAACCATTAATGAATTAAGTAAAAATGATTGTAATTGTGATGATTTGGATACGCTGTTGTTAGTATTATTGCTTGGAATGCTATTTGATTCTAAGTCTTCTGTGGTATCATTATTATTGATAAATGCATTAGTAACTTGTTGTTCTTGTTGACGACGTTGTTGTTGTTGTTGTTCTTGATGGTGGTTGTGATGGTCATCATTTGATAATACGACTTCTAAAACGTCTTCGTTTAAAGGATTAGCAGGAGATAAATGGATCAAGTCTGGTTTTTTCTCACCATGTCCATAAACTAAACATTGCCATAATAAAACCACATCAGCCAAGGTATAGTATACGGCTAAAATGACCATTGTAGGCAAAACACCTTGTAATACTGCTCCCAATACATTGAACACATCACCTGCCAACCATAAAATGATAAAAGTTAAAGATAATCCTTCCAGGGACTTTCTTCTAAAATTTTCATAAATTTGTGGAGCAAAAACAATTATCCAACAAGCTATTGATATTGAGCCAGTTATTCCACTTATAGCTTGAGCATCTAAAATTATAGGAGCTGGAGGACCCATTCTTTGTAATGTAGTAGTTATAGTATTAATGAAGAAAAAGTGGTAGTGGTAGTAATTGAAATTTTTCAATAAATTATATGAATGAATAAATTAATTAATGAGTGTGTAGTTTCTTTTTTTTTCTGTCTCTCTCTCTTTTACTTCCTGCTCATTGTTTGCTGAACAAGATGAAGAGAAGAAGAAGAAAAAAAATTTTTTCCCTTTGAGTTTGGCTTCCATTGTGGAGAAATACTTCCTTCTACACAGTAATGTTAATTATGAGTCACGCGCACACACAGACACACACACAGACAAATTTGCTTCTCACTCGATGACACATTATCATTATCTACGGCAATTGCGCATTAGCGATATATTGCACGGCTTCAACTGATAATAATATTAATACTACTAGATTAGACTATCTAAGCGGTTACAACAAATAGTGGACTGACGACGTACTGGTGGTGGTATAATAAGCGAGATAACAGTTATCCATGTCTTTGAATATGGGCTATATGCCAATCCGTGGTATTAACAACTCATATAAACATATCAAGTCCATTACTCAATTAAGAAAGAGCAACAATAAATCCAAGGGATTTATATCAATGTGTGGTGTATTCTAAGCTTATCCATTACCAGTAATTGACTCTGAGACACTCATATCAATATTAAAATTTGAAGTGAGTTTGTCGTGTAGAAGGAACCAAAAATCTGATGGATTCAACAACGACAACAACATCACCAAAAAGAAAATTTTTTTGAACAAAATGATTAACTAACTCCACTAGGGAAGTCTGACTGTGAGTACAATTGAGTTTTTTCGAATTGTGTGTTTCTGTTGAATTCCTCACGACGGGTGTTGTAGAAATTTTACTACTAACAATTATGCTCCATTCTAGCATTATAAAGATTATTAATTAATAATCGTTTTGTAGATACCTGATTATAATGTATAATTTAATTTTATCGTTATCATTCATTAAAAGAAACGTTATTATTCCTGAATCATTAACAATGTAGTAATATTATTAATATCTCTACTATCAGTATTCATAGAGACGAGTTCTACAATCATTATTAAGTTGTACAGTTATGAATATACACGTATAATTAACATCTAAACACTAATTCAAAAAAAAAAAAATGAAAATGCATGCTAGAATGTAATTAATCGTTAGTAAAACCATTCGAAATAAGGGACAGTCTTCTTATATACTGCAAACGGAACCGAATATATATCGTGGTAGTATTACCGTTCCCCTTCTGTGGTATTCCAGCGGACCAACAGGTAGGGTTTTTTACCACCTTGGTTTCCCTACCAATTTTTCTTTTTTTTCTTTTTTTTTTGATTTCTTTAATTTGGTTTTTTTTTTTTTAGTTTGGATTTTGTTATTTTTTTATACTTGCCCACTGGGTTTTTGATTTGTTATCTCTTCTTGTTATATTTCATTTTCAATCTTTTGCTATGTACCTGGACTGGTTGGTCAGGTTACACGACCAAGTGTACCGCCACCAAGTGTGTTTTGAGGGAATATTGTCAACTAACCCTTTCGGGTGTCGGCAGGTGAATCTCCTCCTGGAGATGTGACGTGTGAAGGCGTCTAGGAATTAGTTCATAAACCACTGGATTCCCTTCGGGATCGAGTAGAACAGAGAAAGAGAAGAGGAACCAACTCTATTCATACGTTTTGTATATTAGACACGACTTATTATACGCATCCACGCTCTATTCATAACATTTGGTGACTAAAATAGAGAATCACGTGTAATCTGTTCAACGAGTAAAATAGTAAGAGCAACACAGTAGGACATCTCTACAGTACTAATAATAATAATAATAATAGTAGTAGTTAAGTTAAAATAACACCCATAAATAAGTATATTAATAAATTGAATATCTATGTATATGTATATATAAAAAGTAATCTATGGGGAATGCTAGAAATATTCAAAATAGTAATAAGTTAGTAGGGGTTGTGGTATATATAATATACCAACCTATAATGTGGAATGAGACTTCAACTCCAAAAAACTGGGCTACAGTAGCGGAACTTATATATTCACACTCTTAAAAGGATTTGAAGAAGAAAAGAAGAAAAATTTTAATAAATTAAATTCAAGAATGGAGAAATTGTTGAGGTTTAAATAGTTTTCAATTTTCTGTTTTTGTACCGCGTTTTGGTCCTTGGTTCAGCAACGCGATGTCGTGTACAGTGCACAAACTTATACCAGTAATAAATATTGTTTAATAACTACTACATACCATAAACTGTACAAGGAATAAGAGATAACCATACTGTCGATAATACAAATTGTATATTCTATTCTTTACCATAATCAAATCTTGGATTCGAAGCAATTAAATCTTCAACTTCTTCATCCATGGTTTGACAGATTTTCTTATAACTTGGTTGATTCTTAATCATTTTACTCCATTTATATAAATTTGGATACAATTTCCTCATATCTCTATCATCATGTAAGATTTCTTTAACTCCTTCTAAATTATCAAATACATTTTCATGGATTGGGAAACTTAAAATTACATCAGCTCCAGTTAATTTATCCCCTACAAAAAAACCTGTTCCATTTTTAATTAATCGATCTTCTAGATATTGCATATTTAAATACCATTCATGCTTATAATATCCATTATTTATAGCTTTTGTAATTGTTATAATAAGCTATTTTTTTCGTACCAAATGGGGATATATGTTTAGCTG